GTTACACATAGGCTTAGGGATAATAGGGTTAGGGTTGGGGTCAGGGGTAGGGTTAGGGTCGGCGTTATAGTTAGGGGTAGGGTTAGAGATGGGATTAGACATAGGGTTAGGGATAATAGGGTTAGGGTTGGGGTCAGAGGTAGGGTTAGGGTTGGGGTTAGGGTTAGGGGTAGCGATAGGGCTAGGGTTAGAGATAGGGTTAGGGATAGGGCTGGGGTTAGGGGTAGGGTTAGGGTTTCGCCAATCTGGGCAAACTTTTGAAGTTGCAGGGAAAGTCACACAACCCAAACCTCAACTATCTGCCTTGGCCCTTGAGTTTGACGAGCAATCTAAGGTCCGGGGACCGCTCGCATGGTGGCGTTTCCTCCTTTCCATTTACTTTTATGCTGTGTTTAAGACATTATGTCGTGCCCTCGCGTCCTACCGTCGACCCGTTTTGTAGTGCAGTCCATCCCTTACGTTGTGCGGTCGCGTCGTGCCGTCCAATCGTGCTCTCGCCGTCGCCTCATTAATGGTGGAAAAAGTAGGCGCCCTTAGAGACGGAGCTAAATTCCATGCCAATAGCTACCTTTACATCATCATATCTTGTAGGCCCTATGCACGCACATTATTTTTTCCCAAGACTTGTGATATACGCCCTCTATTGGCTGTGATAATCACAATTAGCCATTTTTAGAAACAATAAGGCATAATGGCACGAAACGACGGACAACGACAGGACGCGACAGCATGATATCAAGACGCGACCGCACAAGGGCAGGATGGGACGGCCTTAACCTTCACTGTATGAAAGAAGACCATACAATGACAGGCGACGCGACGGCTCAAAGGCACGACGCGACACTACGACGGCAAGACACAACGGCAAAACGGCACGATACAACGGCAAGGCGCACCGGCACGACGCGACGGCATCCAGAAAATAACACGACGCGATGGCACAATGCGACGTCACAACAAGAGAACACAACGCATTAAACACGGCATAAAAGTAATGAGAAAGGGGGCGACGGCACGAAGCCGTCGTAGCGTTGCGTTGGGGTGATGTCACGACGCGAAGCAATTATAGAACATTATGGTTTTCTCTCCAGACAAGGCCTCGGGACTGAGCCTGCCGCGTGCGGCAGGGCACATTCTAGACACAACATAAACTTGCAGCAATCCCGCGCTGCCTTTCACATGCACAATTTCACGGAGAGCTGTGCATCCATTAATGCTAATGCTATTCGGATACCAGTACACTGGTCTCGCTTATTCTCTACGCATAAAATTATACATAAAGGTGATGTCATCTTTTAAATTCGTTACATTATCATGACGCACGTTGCATAAAGATTATTTGGATACCCCCACCCCCCTTAACGGACCAGACTCCACCGTTCATTACAAAAGTAGCTCAAGATGAATTGGAGTGTTGCTTTGACACTTACCATTCAGGGAGCTATTCTGGATCGCATTTCACATTAGCTAATTCTATTGCCTCTACAAAATCTAACAGAAATATCTACATCTGAAAGAGTATAAGCTTCAGTTCTAGCGTGTCTGACTTTTAAGGAGCAGCTCTTTAATTGAATCAAGGGCGGGTTCAGAGCCATATTTTGTAGGGTCAAATATTGGGACACGTTTTAATGTAAACCTTTGTAGCCTGTCTAAAGCGTGGGGCTACATTTTGGGGCGTTTATACACACTTGGAAAAGAGAGAAATAAAATGACCTCAAAATGACCTTTCTCTGACTATTATTTATCTCGAATTCTTTTGGCTCCTCTTTTAAGGGGGCTAAGGCGCCTGTTGGTCCCCTATAGATCCGCCGTTGACCTGATGGTCCATAGCTAATCCCAGCAGTGGCCGTATATTTTACACTAGTTAATATAGGCCTACATCAAATCAATGCACCCGTAGGACGTAATTTCCTATACAAACTCGAATTTTTTTCAGAAGTTGCGCCACTATCAGAAGAATTGATGCGGACCTATTTCCTAATGAGGCAAAATGTCTGAGCCATTATCACCAATAAGTCTATCCTCTAATTGATGTCCAGTACCCTGGGTAATCTAATCTCTGGCCTCATCTTAATTGTATAGATGTAACGAACGGTATTAATATTCCAACTGATTTATAATGTAAGTTCGTGAACACGTTTTAAATGGACCCAAATAAGGTGACGGAACAGAACCACCCCAAAAAAAAGTTTCAACAAAACCCAAAGCAACTAACAACTGAAGAGCCACACGACCCTACAGCGGGACACAGTCGGTGCTGGCCTCGGGTATGGGTTTGTACCAGAATCTTGGCTAAATCTTGGTTCTGTCCTGAACGCGATTTAGTTTTAACAGTGAGACGAAACCAGNTGTTTTTTGGGCGTGAAGAAAGTAGTTCAGAGCTTTCACATTCCACTTAAGTCCGTACGCCTCTGGCTTGATTCGTGTGAGTTCCTTAGGACCTTGCCTTATTGAGACCTTAAAGGTGGCCTGACTCTCTGCATCGATATCTGTGTTACAAACGGTACATGATTGCCACGCCGCCCTCCTTTTGCGGTTCTCAGACACAATGGCAGCCATCCGGTAACTCTGCACCAGTATGACCAGGATATTCTTGCAGGAGAAGTACAGTATCGTCTTGTTTTCTATCACTAATGGTACCGCAGATACCATGAGGCACACACGAACCACTAAAAAGGGCAAATCTTGCATGAGGACGGTAGTCACAAATATCGACCACAGCTCCGTGGCGAAGAAGAGTTCAGGCCAGTCATAAAAGTCCTTCCCATCCTCAGCAGAACGTCTTCGGTCTTCTCGACCCGTGGAAGCCCTGGGGTCCTTTCGACTCTTTGAAGCCCTGGACTTTTTTGTCTTCGTCAGGTTCAAGGTGAGAGTAAACTGAGGCAGGCTCCAACTCCAGAAGCTAAGAACCAGAATGACGCCCTTTCGATCCATCAGTTGAGTGGCCAGTGAATCGGTGAGAAATTCCAGACTGTCGGCCGCCAAGCCAATGTGGATGAGTAAAAGTTGCAACAGCTGGTCACGTGACAGTTTGCCTTGAGGGAGAAGCCACCGGCCGATGATGAGGATAAGTATCATTGTTTGGAGTAAAAAATCGTACTGCAGGAATGAGAATTCAGACGGTTGGCTTTCCTGCAAAATAAAAGCGATGTTGGAATAATATCTGTTTATGTAATCATTGTTACATATGCCAGTTTGCCGGAATGCATCAGCTGCGAAACATATCATGGATGCTCCCTTGAGCCGGGTTGATGTAACCAAACGAGGCTTGGTTCATAAAATTCGGGCGCCGTGGAACATTCGATAGGTTTGGGGCAAATGCTCCTAGAAGACATGTCAACGGATAAACACCCCGTACGCCATCTACGAAATTCCGATGTACATCACTTTCATTCGGGTGTCGTCCATCATTTTTAGGCTATTAAACTATATATTTATAGTGTGCCCTGGTTCAAACTTGCATTTAAAAATTTTGTCCTTGCTGCAACTTTTGCTGATCTGATTTTGGCATCACAGGTCGCTGTACGCTAACAATGTGGTATACAATTGATCACTAGAATACATTACACTGTAATGTTTTCCTCATTCAAAACCACAGAGCTCATTTTAATTTAAGAATGCATTGAATAATATTGAGTGCATTTTCTTCAGTACTTTAAAAGTAAAGTAGGTATCAATTTTTCCTTATTTTCAAAAGTTTCTTTTAATTAAATATTTACCAAAATGTTCCATACCAAGCCAGTGTCGTTCCAGTTCACAGGGGTATCTTCAAACTTCAGGCATTGCCATTCGCGACAACCGAGCGTAGGAAAACAATGAAAATAAAACTTGTTACAGTAACCATCCACGACACATTGTTATCTAAACACCGGGTTTGTATTTACATAAACTTTGATTTAGAGTTCATGAATTTGGTTGAAAAAAATTATTTTCAAGCCATTGCTTTATTTAAAAGAACAAACAGGAAAAAATGATGTAAAGTATTCGAGAAGAACGCCTTCTGATTGCCATTCCCTCAGTACCACAACTAACCACTCTCATTTTTCATGTCACAAACAACAAAATCTCCTCCTTTTTTCTGTGGCTCGCGTGTAGAACTATTTTTTTTCAAGTTTTTTTTTACCTTTTGATTGCAGGATGAATTATTCATTCCTGACCCAGTGCACACTTTTCTCAGATCGTATTTGGTCAATTCCATCAGCCACACGCAGGGGACGATGAATGTGATATACAGTGCAATCGTTGGTGAAAACCTGGTGATTAAAAGTACAGAATTGTGTCTCTTTTTTTGTAAAAAAAAAATCCCTGGCGCTTCAAAACTGTTGGTTGGATTTTTCTATCAAAGAAAAGAAAACTAATTTTTGTTTGTGTATTGTAATACTCAGTTACGGAGGGAGGTTCAGACTGGAAGTGTGACCCAGCATATCAAAATCAGGAATAAGTCGCAAATTGACTTTTTGAGGTATGTACATAGAAAGAGAATTTCATACGCTTTCAAATGTACATTATTACGAGTGTGTTGACTGTAACCTTTCATTCATACGCCTCCATAATATACAGAAATTTTGTCAACATTTACCCCCATCCCCACTTTAATCGGCCATTACGTAAAACAGCCTCCAGTCGGCGACTTATTCCTGATTACGATGTAGCGGGTCACAAATGAGAGAATGTTCATGTTAACTGGGACATTTTTACCGCAAACGTAAATAGCATTCTATCCTACCATTTTGAAGGCCTTTTATCTACGGAGGGGATGGCAAGGGCGTAAATCCCGTGGTATGGTGGTATACCCCCCACACACACGCTTTTTGAGGTGGGGGATTGGTTATTGAATCATTACACACATCCCACACACACCCATTTATTCCTGTTTTACATACAAAGTGTGGACATTCCTTTGGTCTCCTGTGGTTAAGGAAACTAGAGGAAAATGTTCTTTTTTTCCAACTAGGATAACTCCTTCGGGCTGGAATTTTAATGATGATTTCCTGGACTGTTCCTCTTCATTTTGCTACAGATAACCTAGACCCCAAACTGCCTCTGAAACTGTTTTTTAGAAAGGGAGGAAACATTGTGTGGACGTGGGCGAGTCCACAAGGCCATCGTGCCCTATATTATGTGGACTTCTTTTCTGCAGAGGTCCACACTATGTATGCCACGCCTGCACACACTTTTTAGTGGTCAGGGGGAAAAAAAGCAGATTGTGAATTTTTTTCAGATATTACTCAAAAATGAAAAACAATTTTTAAAAACCATAAATATGCCATTCTAACTATATTTTACAGATGTACATCAATATCATGAACAGTGGCCTCTCTATATATAATATGGTGTCACACCCCCTCCCCTCTGATTTTCAAATTTTCATGCCAAGTCATCCCCCAACCTATCCCCCATCCTCCCCGATTCAAGCACAAATTTACGCCACCGGGGGGGGGGAGGAAATAAAATGAAACTCACACTTTGCAGAATTTTCCCACTTTGGATTTTTGGAAGCTGTAGAATGAATCCATTAACATAAGGGCAATGAAGACACCGTACAAGACGAACAGCCAGTCACCGCGTCGCCCATAATCGAGGGCATCCCCTTGGACCAGAAACAAACACAGCGAAGAGTGCAGACAAAACATGATACGGACCACCATTCCCTTCAGGAAGACGCTTTTGAACAGACAGGAAACGCCATGCTGCATCCTTGAACTGCCCGCCATTTTTCTCAACTGAACAATTTTGTTTGCTTCCTGGCTGACTCTCTCGTGGTTTTCTTCTCTGGTTACATGGCTTCCACCTTTATATACATTTATTTTTGAAGCAGCTCCCTGTTATCTTTGGCTTTATCTTCAGATGCGAGTGATAGTACTGAATATGTCAGCTATTAAGTCCAGTGGGTTTGTATCGTGGATATCTTTATCCTTTATTTTGAGAGAAGCTGGTACCAAATTGTTTATATACATCCTACCCCAAAAGGGGGAGTTTGTACGTTTTTCTTGCTTTCTTGCCCGAAAGGCTGCCCACCCCCATAGTTTGTTTCAGTGATACCTTGTTGGTGACCATGATTCTAGTGACATATCTCTATGATATATACGTGTTTTGTCGGATTACATGTATATTTAAACACACAACGCCCAAGATAGGACATTTTGCATTTGGTTGAATCTGATTTATACTTATTTTCCCACCGGCACTTATAAAGAATAATTGCTTTGTAGAGAAGGCTTCGAGTGACAAGAAGCATGAAACTTTAATATGTCTTCGCCCTACCTGCAAATATGCATATAGCCAGATTACCCATTAGGCACGCGTTGAGCCTGGGAGTTATTAGCAAAGCACCAAACAACACAAGGATCGAAACTAAACGATTCAAACAAAACCAATAAACAGGACCTACGAAAATAGCACAAGTAGGCCCATGCACCATAAAACCCAAACGCTGTTTTAGGCCATCATGTGAAAAATCTAGTTTGAAAAGTTTACATGTATGTGCATCTCACGCCCTGAATCTCGGCTTAAAACGGTTGGTCCATAAAACTCTTCTCCAGCTTAGCAAAAACACAAAATACGATCCTCCAGCACTTCACGATTTCAACTAGGGCCTACTACAAATTTCATGATTATACCGAGGAGGGACTGAGCATTATAAGGTACAGCGCCTTTGGTAAAAAAAAAAGGAAAAAAAGAAAAAGGTGGCTAAAGCCGGCGGAACACTACATCCGACTCTGCATAATTATAAAGCCACTCACAGAGAGGACACACGGAGGTCTATTTTTCCATGCAGCTGTGCACATTGCATTATTTCAAACTTTAACATAGCCCATGCTCCCTTTTGCCGAATGAATGCATTCGCCACAGCAGGCAGGTTTCGTAACGGACTATAACCCCAAATTTACAGACGACCATAACGGGCAGAATGTAGGGAAGAACTAAATTCCTCCCCCATTTATCACAAAGCCAGAAATTAGAAGTATGTGTATCCACTTTTAGCAGGAGCACCTCATTGGTTGACTACAGCCATGCGAAGCAAACTCAACGTATGCGTTTCGTAGCCAAGTGTTTTTCCAACCAGGGTGCACTGAACTAATTTATGCCCCATTGAAAACAGTGTGAAATCAAAAAAGTTCACAGCCCCGGTACGGGCAACCCAAATCCCTTAGGTCTCTCAAAAAAAACCAAAATGTTGTTTGGTCCGTCGGGTTTCATTTGGTTTTCAATTTCTAGTAGGTTAACTGTTGAGGATTTTCATAATCCGCCAAAAACAAACTCAGCTCCTAAAACGTGAACGTTCCCAAGTCTGCCAAGAACCATTTTCAAGTGACACCCGTCCCCTTTTTCGGGCTCTTTGGACAATTTTTCAATAGCATTTTTCACCGCTTTGCCGTCGGATGGGGGAGCTCCTTAGTCTAGAAAGTTGACTGTGGGTCATATTTACACAATCCCACATTTTTTCGGGCCACACAAACTCATCTTTTTAAAAAACTGCAGGGGTACTTTTTGAGCGCCTCGGCCTGCCGGAGAACTTGCCTTGAATTGGGATAGGGCACTCACTAAAGGAACCTCTATGGTCGGGGAAATTGCACCCTCTCTTAGTCCCATTCGGGTCCACTGGTCTGGGTGTCGAGGGGGGTTAGATACATCTGACAACAATCTCGGGACGCGTTCAAGGCTTATAAAAACCAGTTGGTGTCATTCATGACGGGTAGTATATAGCTCAGTACCGGGCGAGCGGTCATGGTGCTTTTGACAGTAACCCCTTTCAAAATTTACGATTGCGCAACATACTCTTGACTGCTGTAACGAAAGCTGTAAGGTTTCACCTATTGCACTGATAATATAATGACAATATGTCTTGCCATTGTTTACCATTGCGATGATATCAGCGAGGGGAAGTTAGAGCTCCAAACAGAACATTTCAAAGAGCACTGTGAAAAATCGTTTAATTTCTTGGCCTGCTCAAAAAGTATGCACTTTGTATGATACTATGGTTTACAGTAATAGCCAGGCTTTTTGAACGATTTTTTTTGTTCACTGTATCTACGAAGCATTAATAAACTACATGCACACAGTCATAGAGCGTGTTATTGGAGAAACAGTAACATTTGGAATGTCACCCAAGTTTATAAACCGAACCAATGGGGGTATGTGTATTGGTTTAGTTTGGTTTGGTTTGCTTTATTTATTTTCCATACTATACACAATTTAAATAATACAAAGTAATTTAAATAGTATGGGGGAGTTCAGACAGAAAGCCGAAGTTTGTACGGGGTCTGCCCCCTGCAAAGATAATACAAGTAAATTTACAATTCTCGAGAGAAACAAATATCAAAATCAATAATACAGAATAATGTGTGAAGATCTTCATTAGTTCAAGTTAGGAAAAAGCTGTGTACAACAACGACACAAAATCCTAATTACAGGTTTAAAAATGTATAAATACAACTTTGGCATTGTTTAGAAGAAATCATACTCTCAATTGTCCGCCGCATTTGCTAAAAGTTTCCCTTAAAGCCTTTTACGAGTTGCAATTTTCGTCATTGGACAAAGAGATCTGATTTGGTTCCAGAGAAGGAGTCCTTGGTATCTAACATTTGAAAGGCGAATAGATCCCCGTGTTTTTTGTTACATGCATAATGTAAATGCAATTATGCAGACGGACAAGTTTTAAACAATTCATTTATTTCTTGGTAACATTATCTGCTGAAATAAATGGAAAGAGGTCATCGTTACATGATGCACTGATTGCAGGTTTCAAGTACATCAGTTAAGCAGCAGTTCTGAACGAGCATACATTTCAACCAAAGAATCTCTAATACTCTTTCTATTCTACTTTGACGACAGAGAAGTTGAAAGTTACTCAAAAGTATTCCATTAATTTTTTACGTCTTTAAAAAAATCCTGCCTGAAAACACAACGAAATGAGGTGAAAAAAAATACCATTACAAAAGCAGAAGTGTCAGTTTAAATGCAGGTTTTCTTTCTTCAGATAATCTTGTTTTGTATTTCACATTCACGCTTTAAATTTATGCCCGAAAAAGGTTTTGGTATTTGAAACGAAATTCAACACGCGCACACTGCAAGCGTTACGTTTATTAACGCCCTCTTTGTCTCTAAAGCTCAGTATCAAAGGTGGTTAAATTTATTTACCCTGCCAAGTGGGAGCGTGTGCCCAGATTGACACAGAAATCACGTGATTTAATTGTTCTACTTACTGCCACACATTCAACTCCCGTGACTTTTCCTAACTTTTCCCCACCTAACTATAGAGAGGGGTGTCAATCTTGGTATCACCGTGGTAGTGACTGAAAGGGGGGTCCATATCCATTCCAATATGTTTGTGCAAAAAATACTGCTATATTATGATAATGCACGCAATACCTACTTCCCTCTAAAATACTCCTTCCCCCTTTACAAAATGCATCAGGACAATGTCTGGGATGCTTGCCAATGTGTCTGGAAGCTTGTGGTTGGCGCCAGCACTGTAACCAGACAGTGTGTTGACCTGTAGTCCACGGTAAGCCCTTGTGATTGATAGGGCCAAGCCTCGGTCTGGAGAGGCTGGCCACGTGGCATTATTTACACTGTCTAGGCCCAGCTGTTGTGCTATAAAGGCCCTGGATGAGTGAGTCAT